TACTGTTTCAAGAAAAAAAAGAATATAATTATAGACTTATTTAACTTATTCTTAATAAAGCACTTTTAAAAATCTCATACACGCGGACTTCCGGTAAGATGGAAGAACAGGCAGACAAGTGACACAGACCATCTTCAACAAAGAAAAGAAAATCCAATTGACAGAGATACAGAAGATAATCCTGGAGCCCTGAGCTTTGAAAGGAACTACAGAGAAGTGGATTAGGCACCAACCAGTGGAAAAACCTGAACGAAAACAGTGAGTATAGAGAGAGTCAGAGCTGCAGACTGTCAGCTACTCTGACAGGACCAACAGCCTGAGTATTTCCAAGTGGTGTTGGGACCTAAGAATTGACCTAAAGATCAGCCCTGGCCACCAAGGGCTGCGGGGACGACTGCACTGGTGGCCTATGACTAGGAAGGGAAACAGCAAGGAGGGAGACAACCTGAGCTGTTGACTTTCTGCTGTCTGGAAGGCAAAGTCATTTTGGATATTTAAAGTGATCGAGGGTACAGCCATTTTCAGTGTTTATAAGCAGCAACCGTTTTGGACATTTTAAGTGACTAAGGGCGATGCCATTTTGAATGTTTACAAGTGGTGGCCATTTTGGATATTTACAAGCAGTGGCCATGCTGGATATTTAAAGTGACCAAGGGTACAGCCATTTTTAATCTTTACAAGTGGCAACCATTTTGAATTTTAAAGTGACAGCATTCTCATTTGGATACCAGGGACCTAAGAATAGGCTCTGTTTGCCAAGGTTGGCAGGGACATAAAAGAACTGACAACAGTAAAGGAGACAGGTGGTGAGTGTGTAAGTGCTGTCAACTAGTGAATAGAGGAGCACAGCACAGTACCCTGTTTGTGTAGATAACATAAAAAGAAAACAGAAATCATGGGCAAGTCACTCCAACATACAATCGCCAATTAAATATAAACACAAAAACATCACAATGCCTCAGAGACAACAGAGCATCACAAGAAAAAGCAGGAGAAACATGGGACCAGGATACAGACCCAAAACACATCCCTGAGGAAGACACAGCAGTGGAACTCCTGATAAGGAATTCAAAAGAATATTTAGGTATCTTAAAAGGATTGAGAGACAGATTAAGGAAAACACAGAAAAAAACCCTAGAAGAATTTCAGAAGAAAATACAAGAACAAAAGGACAAAATAAATGAAAAATCAGAAATGATACAAAATCTACAGATAGAAATCCAGAAGAGTAATAGAAAATTGTCAGAAATAGGTAACACATTGAAAGGGCAAAGGAGCAGAATTGATGCAATGGAAGACAGAATTAATGAGATTGAAGACAAATACCTGAATACTTCTTGGGAAAGGGATCAATAAGAAAAAAGATCAAAACAAAATGAAGAAAGCTAAGGCTCATGTGGGATACCATCAAAAGGAATAACCTACATGTCCTTGGAATTACAGAACAGGAAGAGAAAAAAAAAATCACTGACAAAATTATCCGAGATTTGTTGGAAGAGAACTTCCCTGATGTGATGAAAGATGAGAATATATCCATTCAGGAAGTCCAACGAACCACAAATAGGATAGACCCCAAAAGAAAATCACCAAGACATATCATCATCAAACTCACCAAAACCAAAGACAAAGAAAGAATCCTGAGAGCAGCATGGGAAAAACAAAAAGTTTCCTACAAGAGGCAACCAGTAAGACTAAGCTCGGATTTCTTGGCAGAAACCATGCAGGCGAGAAGACAATGGGACAGTATATACAACACCCTGAAAGAGAAAAATTTCCAGCCAAGAATTATGTACCCAGCAAAACTGTCCCTCAAATATGATGGTGAAATTAGGACATTTCCAGAAAAGCAGAAATTAAAGCAATTTGTTAAAACAAGACCAAACTTACAAGAGATGCTAAAGGCAGTCCTTTGGACAGAGAAGTAACAACAGTTACCAACAACTGACCATTAACACATATTATGACATAACCCAGAAACCAACCCAGCTATGGAAGTATCCAAAGTAAAGAAGCTAACAAGATTGTAAACAGGGAACCAGATACATCAATTGGCAAATGAGGACAACTACAAACCAAAAAGAGGGAAAAAACTGTCATTACAGAATTTCTAAATGATAAGGAAGTCAAGACAACTACAAGACAGGATGGACTGTTCTAAATTTGGGAAGAAAACTATAAATCACAGGGTAACCTCAAAGAAAAATGATAAACCCAGCACAAATATTTAGCAAATACTAAAACAATAGCAACAAAGGAAGGGATAACACGATTCATAAACAAAACAAGCTCTGCATAGAAAATTATATGGAACAAATAAATCGACACCACGAAAAAACACATAACAAAATTTATATTTGCCAATAATTACATACCTGGCAAGGGACTTATCTCTAAGATTTATAGAAAATTCTAATGCTCCAACACCAAAGAAATTAACAATCCAATTGAAAAATGGCCAGAAGACATGAATACACACTTAGCCAAGGAAGATATTCAGGTGGCCAGCTAATACATGAAGAGATGCTCACAATCACTGGCCACAAGAAAGATGCAAATCAAAACTATGAGATATCATCTCACCCCAGCACTGATGGCAAGGTTCAACGAGACAGAAAATAAATGCTGGCGAGGATGTGGAGAGATTGGGACTTTCCTACACTGCTGGAGGGACTGCGAAGTGACACAACCACTGTGGAAAGCAATATGGCGATTCCTCAGAAAGCTGGAATTGGAGATATCATTTGACCCAGCAATCCGATTACTAGGTACATATCCTAGACAGATGAGAGCCAGGACAGGAACAGATATATATGCACACTCATGTTCATCAAAGCATTATTTACAACAGCAAAAAGATGGAAACAACCTACGTCCCCATCAGCGGAAGAGTAGATGACCAAACTATGGTACTTACACACAATGGAATGCTATTCAGCACTAAAGAATAAGGTAGAGTCTGCAAAACACCACATAATATGGTTAAACTTGGAGGACATTATACTGAGTGAAATAAGTCAATCACAGAAAGGCAAATATAGTATTAGTTCATTGTTGTGGAGAGTCAAAGAAAGGTTTATATATGGAGGGAAACCATCTTTGTTTGGTTGCAAGGCGTGGGAGAAGAGGGGAGGGAACACTGCAAAAAAAAAATGCATTGACCCATGTCACTTTAGTTTTGTGTATTTCACTGTACATAAATTATGTTTCAGTAAAATGTATTAAAAAAAACAAAACAAAAAAATGCAACTGGGGAGTGGGATATGGGGAAACATCTATTTTCTGCTTAATAATCCTTTTCATTTGTTTTTAAATCAGGAAACAGTACAGAAACTTCTTCAGTCTTCAAACAGTGGACACAGAGCAAGGGAGTCAGGTTGAGCAGATATTGTAGGAACAGACAGAGTCACAACTTGGAGAAGAGAGGGGAATGCCATTAGCATCTAATGAGTGGAAGCCATGGACACTGTTCAACATCCTACAGTGAAAAGCCCCCACAAAAAATTATCTGATCAAAATGTCAACAGTGTCAAGGTTGAAAAACCCTAATTTAGAACAACTGAGCTTCTTGGTACTTTTGAATTCAGAAAATTTATTTCCAGTTAGACTTTATAGAAGAAAAAAAATCAAACACTGATATGTAGCCATTAAAAGAAAAAAAATGAAAAATTAGAATTACAGAAGATGAAGAAAAAGCTAAAACTGTTTTTAGTTTTAAAAGTGTTAAGCATTCTCAAGCAAACTACAGTAGTTTTTAATAGATTATTCTGACAGAACTAAAGAAAACTTTCTCCTGAAATCTATTACATCTACTGAACTAAACAAAAAAAAAAAAAAACAAAGCTCACTGCCGTTGAGTTGAATCCAACTCATAAGCTACGCCTCCCTGGGTTTCTAAGGCGGTATAACTCTACAGAAGTAGATTGCCCAG